ATACTATTGTCTGTGTCCATGGGTTATGCATTTAGGCATATAAGGTCTTTGATTAATCTCTCCCCACCCACTCCCCCATCCCTGCCTTCCCTCTGAGATCCCTCAGTCTGTTCCATGCTTCTATGTCTCTGGATCTATTTTGTTCATCAGATAATTTTGTTCATTATATTTCATATGAGTGAGATCATGTGGTGCTTGTCTTTCTCTGAATGGCTTATTTCACTTAGCATAATACTTTCTAGTTCCCTACATGCTGTCCCAAAGGGTAAGAGCTCCTTCTTTTTTTACAGCTGCTTAATATTCCATAGTATAAATGTGCCACAGCTTTTTTATCCACTCTTCTACTGATGGGCACTTGGGCTGCTTCCAGATCTTAGCTACTGGAAATTGCACTGCTATGAACATAGGGGTCACCTGGAGATTTTTATTTTAGCACACTGTGTGGGGGAGGATGAGATCTGCACAAAGACCATTCTTAAAGAACAATAGAAGTTGTGGAAATGTCGTTGGAGGGAGAGTGGGGTCAGCTAACTTTCAGATATTTATTTTCCTTATTGAGATATTTAAGCAGCATACCTTAAATAAATTACGTCCAAAGCCCAATTTCTCATTTTCCCTCTAAACTCATTTTTTTAACAATGTTTCTCCTAAATTTTCATAAATACCAACTCTATTCCATCAATTGCTTAGACCAAAACCTTGCCATCACCATTGACCCCCCTCTTTCTCTCACATCCCACATCCAGTCCATGAGTTAATCCTGTCAGTTTCACCTTCAAAATACACAGAGTTCCATCTCTTCTCACCCACCACCCCCACCATCTCACCACCCCCACTGCCCCGCTCCACCCCACCATCAGTTCTGGCCTAGACTAGCCAAATAGCCTGCCACCTAAACTCCCTGCTTTTGCTCCTGCCTCCTGTAGCTTAAAATTCTCCCATGGCTTTCTAGCCCACTCAGAATAAAAGTCAAAGTACTAACAATGGTCTACAAGGCCCACCATGATCTCCCCAGCATACCCAATGCCTATGTGACCCCATTTCCTACTTCCCCTCGCTCTGTTGTGGCCACTCTGGTCTCTTTGTTCTCCCTAGAACAGGCCAGACACTCACACCTCAGGACCTTTGTACTTGCTGTTCCATCTACCTACATTACTTTTCTCCTAGATAATAGCATGGTTCTCTCCCCTATTTCCTTTAGGTGTTAGCTGAAGTGTCACTATCTGTGAAGCCTTTCTTGACCACCTTATATAAAGTATAACAACACTCCCAAATACAGGGAGAGAGACAGAAAGAGACAGAGGGAGAGGAAGAGAAAGGCAAATTTCTGCTTGAGTTCCTTTCATAGCACTTATTTCCACTCAACATATTATATATTTTTATTTGTTTATTGTTTCCCTTCGCCACATAGAATATAAGGTCCACAAGAGCAGGAACTTTGTATTATTTTCCTCTTTGTCCTCAGTGCCTAAACCTGTTGCTGGCCATTAGTAGGTACTCAGTGTATATCTGTGGAGTAAATGAGTGGAGACTGGAGAGCAAATTTGCAGGGCAGCAAATACACAGGATGCGGAAGCAGATGCCTAGGGAGCAAATTTAGGGAACAAATAGGAAAAAATTCTAAATGGAGTTTTCATGAAATTCTCCTGTGTAGTATCCCTTCTCTCCCCAAAACTTTTAACAGAACATCCATTACTTGTTAACGTGTAGTAAAATCGAACCTGTTTAGAGAAATGCAACCAAAAAGCCTTACTAAGGGTTTAGGGCCCATGCAAAGTCTTCTGGGGAAACTTTCACATCTGAGCTACAGTATTTTAGACAAATCTGTGATTACAATCCTAACGTCTATCCTAATAATTGATTCTCTCCATATGAAACTTTTGACATAGTACCTGTTTGACTTATACCGTGTATATATCCACACACAGACATATTTGAAACATACGCTTTTTTGATGTAATAAATGTACACAACTTGTTTTTCTTTTAAAATCATAATAATGTAAACAAAGCTATTCCAAATCCTTTGTTCTTGCCAGCAAAGATGAAGGATTAAATTAAATGGACAAGCCAGTTGATTGCACCCATCTTGAGAAAGGCCGGAGGCTTCAGAACCACTCAGTTGCCTTGCATGCTGCGCTTTCAACTCCCCTTCTCCTTGTCTTTCGTATTTTCCTGTCTCCTCTGGGCTGAAGGCTTGGGTCTGTTTGTTCCGTAATAAACATGTTTCAGTGTAGGAAATTGTATGAATCGAGACAGATTTACTTAAAATACATCAACCTCACTTAAAAACTTGATAGGAAATTGAAATCTTAATATTGGAGCCAATCATCTGTCACTTATACATCATCTCAGTCTCTCTGTGTCCTGTAGTCATACACAGAAGGAGGTTATTAAACACGTATCTCTCCAAAGTGCCCAAGAGAAGCATCATCAGATTTAAAGCCCTCTTCACTTTGCCACTGACTGCTGCGTAACTCTGGGCAAGTCACCATCGCTTATCAAACAGAGTCAAGAACCTCAACATTTAATGAAGGTTGCTGAAAATGGTTGTGGACACTGATGTAATTTCCACTCTTATCCAACAATTTTAGAGTTAAAACTCAGGGAAGAAATACATACTCATTCTTGGAAATTCACTTGTTTTCACTTGTCACAGATATTATGTGACTACAGTGTATCAGGCTCATGACATAAAATTATTTTCTTATGTCTCTAAGTTCCAATGGGAATTTCTATTGGATTTGTCTTTTATGCTCTGATTTGATATGATCCCAATCTGAAAATACCCTATTTTCAGTTTTGAATACCCTGAGTCAGTTTTGAAATATAGGTGTTGGTTTGTTAGAGTGACAAACATAATGTTGCAACACAAATGCACAGCAATTAAAATATATAATTAGCCTGGCCAGTGTGGCTCAGTGATTGAACATCAACCTATGAACCAGGAGGTCATGGTTCAATTCCAGGCCAGGGCAAATGCCCAGGTTGTGGGTCCAATCCCCAGTAGGGGCCGTGCAGGAGGCAGCCGATCAGTGACTCTCTCATCATTGATGTTTCTCCCTCTCTCTTCCTCTCCCTTCCTCTCACTGAAGTCCATAAAATTTTTTAAAAAACTAAAAACCAAACAAAACATATAATTAGTTTGCTTACATAAAAAGAAAAATAATTGGTACATATATTATTCTCTAAAGCTTTCCAATTCCCCACAAGTATAATATATATGAGCTTTATATTTTGCAAATGGTAGATAGAAATTTGAGGTTAGCACATCCACCCCACCAGTTGCTCTTGGACTTAGGACAAATCAAGAGAAGGGATTATGCATGTTAATGTTGTCTGTGAGAGTATACTTTTATAGTGTTGGCAAGCACACAAACAGGAGAGAAGGTAGCTGATGTTCTCTACCACTAATGTCATTGTCTATAAAAGGTTTTCATTAGAAAACCCTTGAAGAGTAAGTTCTAGAATGTGGTTATTTCTGCTGTAAATGATATTTTTATATTTTACTGCTTTGCATTTCCCACAGCTTTTTAATTCTCTTCTTTAATTATTGCCTGAACTGTCTACATTTACGACATGTAAAACTGTAGAATCATTTCCCCAGGATTTAATATTTGAGAGACTGTATAGATTTTTTTTAATAAATTTTTTATTTTAATGTTGTGGTGGTAAAAGTCATTTCTCTCTCTCTCAATATTGAAGACCCTGTCACAAAACCAGTGGTGCAGATCCAGCCTTCCTCTGGGGCTGTGGAGTATGTGGGGAACATGACCCTGACATGCCTTGTGGAAGAAGGCACCCGGCTGGCTTACCAGTGGTTAAAAAATGGAAAACCTGTCCATACCAGCTCCACCAACTCCTTTTCTCCCCAAAACAACGTTCTTCATATTGCTCCAGTGACCAAAGAAGACATTGGGAATTACAGCTGCCTGGTGAAGAACCCTGTCAGTGAGATGGAAAGTAACACCATTATGCCCACCATATATTGTAAGTTAAAAAAAATCATGAGTTTTCTTCTGGGAAGTTCTCACAAGGGTAGTAACAGAGACTATTAACACCAGATGTCATTTGGTTTTTACTATTACTGTAGCGCAGTTGTAATCACACTTCCTAGGCACTGTCTGATCATGAAATACATTTACTTGCACAATCCTGTTTCTTGAAGTTCAACTTGAGATACTGGCCAGGGGCTTTTCAGGATACATTTTATGACTCAGTGCATTGTGCGACCTTATTTCTAGTGGAAAATAGGAACCCATAATCACACCTGTGTTAAATATTATACTTTAAATGCTGTACCTTCTTTCCTTGTTGTGTTATTTGAAAGAATTAAAATATCCCAATTTGAATAAATTCAGATTTTCCAATATATCTTCTTTTACAGACTGAACTCTCTTCTTCACATTCTTTTAGATGTAATCTCTGAAAATCTCACAGAGAAACATCTGTCATGAGTATAGACTAATGACAGTAGAAAGAAGAACATTGAGAAAATTTACAAACATGGGCCCTGTTTACACATTGTAAAGATGAATGCCTGCATGACTTAAGATTTTTACTCTGATTAAGGAGTAATTGTAAAGATAGTATTATTGTAATTAATTTTCTGGATTATTTTCACATTCAAATGCAAAAGCCTTCACTTGGCCAACACCACTTAATGACATTCATTCACTCATTCCTTCACTTGTTCACTCATATTTTGATTCAAAAATCAAATATCATTGTCTTGTTTATTCTAAGCAATTATTACCTGTAGGAACATGCATGGAACATATGTAACATATACAGTAGAAACACAACCCAGACTTAATTTATTAATTTTTCTTGCTATCACTCTTTTAATCCTATTTTATTGTTTGTTGTTGTTGTTTTCTTGGTTGGGGGTTATAAGAATTAAATAAAATATATAATCTGAAGATTTGTCACTGATCCTTTCTGTCGATGTGGCATCAACATGTTTGCAGTCTTCATCATTCCATGCAAGCTGGGGGTCCGCCCTCAGTTGATGCTGTGCCCCCTTCCCTCTCTCCGCCTGCTTACACGCTCTGGGTTACCTCCTCTTACATCTTCTCTAGAAAGGCTCACCTGCCCCCACTTGGTCTCACCTCTCCTGTGTCGCTCAGAGGTTCGCTGTGCTCCTGCAGTACCCCACACACATCTCCCCCGGTACTCATTGCATTATATTTTGCTGCGTCTCTTCCCCTCGTCAGTGCCCATCCCCAAATAGGAGCTCTACTTTATTCATCTTCGTATCCCTAGGGCAATACTTAACACAGATTAAGAACTCAATTGAGGTTCCTTGAACTTGACTAAAATGGAACAGCTTATCTTTCTTCATATCCTTTTCACATGCCAGTGTTACTTGATGCTGTAGAGAGGCTAAATTCCCTTTATAAGATAACAGCATCTTAGAGTGATTGTGCCCTTCTTTGTTGTTTTTCTGACCTTTGGCAAAGTTCCTCAATAATCTAATAAGTGCCATATTCCAATATTCCCCCATAGAGGTCTGCATCATAATTTAGAATTTCAGCATGAATCGCCTATTCTGTTTTCTTAAGGCACTGTTTCTATAACAGCTTCTTTCATGAAAGCAGGAATTATTTTTTATTCTGGCAGTAAAAAAGTATAACAAAGTCTATCAAGATCGACCATCTACTTATGAGGATATGATGTCATAATCTGGTATTGGTCCTGGTGGAATATAATGTCAACCAGTAATTCAGACAAATATCTGCTTGCAGTTCATGCAGTGTATATACCTTCCAGCTCCAGTTGTAAATAATAACCCAGTAACCACTGCATTTTGTGTGTAGCATATGGCACCGCTGCAGGGAAGTACTCTAAGTGATAAAAATTAAAGAAAAAATAAAAGGTCATTCACAGTAAATACTTACCATCTGCTCCCAAGCAGGGTGGCAAGCAACATCACGATGAACATTTAGGTACTGGTCCCGCCCAGCCATAAATTGTTAAAGAGAACAGATGATATGTGACTTTACAAGTCATTTAGGAAACAGCCAATCCTGAGGCAAAGAGTTCATTTCTATTGGGAGTTCTCTGCCAAAGGCAAGAAACTGAACCACAATCCAAAGTCAAAATAGAGTTATCCTTCTACTTTCATCTTCAATGTCAGAGGCCGCACTGGTTGAGGCCCTGCAGGTGTCTTCAATTGGATTGCTCAGTCCCATGAATAATGTACTAGGCTGCACCTCAAAGTAAAAGGATGGTCAGCCTGAAGTGCTAATGAAAAAGGAAATAACATTATAGTATATTAAGAAGAAAATAGATTGAGTATAAGCAGTGTGTGGAATGTGAAAGATAGAAAAATCAATAGATCTATAATAGAGAACTACTCTGGGCATCTGCAAATTTGAGGCTGGCTTGCTAGTATCCAAAATAGCTTTAGTATGGCATGAATCGTGGTGTTTCAAAGGTAAAAAGAACTTTAACAACAAGTCATCTAGTCAACCTTTTTGTAGTAAAGGTGAGGAAAATGAGACTTAAAAAGTGTTAATGACTTCTGAAGAACACTTAACAAATCATTGAGAAAATCAGGATTTAACCTATTTATCTATCCTATTGCCTAGTTACTACATTATTACACATGAGAGATGAAACAGCTTTTACAATCAGAACCTCTAAGATTGGGTTATTACTGAGCAAGCCATCCGCAGCCTTACCCAGTTTATAAACTTCTTGAGAGTAGGAACTGTGTCTTACACATTTTTTATCTCTCCTATACTATATTATCTAACACTTAGTATTTGTCAGTTGATTACTTGATTGACTGAGTGCAGAATTAATATATAATTAGATAATTTATTGTAGAACTAATAATATAATTAGATAAAAAGAAACTGTTGTAAAAGTTATATCATTTACATTTTTTTAGAGAGGTAATATGAATGATTAAATGCATGTATTTTAGAGTCCCAGCTGCATTATGTAATAGCTATGTGACTAAGGCAAAATCAATTTTTTCAATATCTCTTCCTTCACCTTATAATGGGAATAATATCATCTACTTCATGTGACTGTTTTAAAGATTAAATGTGGTTGTCTACATAAGTAAAGTGCCTTCAGATGGCAAATATCCAATAAATACTGGTTATGATCAGCTAAAAAATGGGCACAATCATGCCTAAACCTTGAAGTTTTTGGAACATAAGCCAGGATTTAGATTGAATGAGAAAAACCTATCTAGCTGGGGCAACGTTTTTTAAACCTCTCTCTTTATTCTCTGAGGGAAGCAATGGGAAATGTGTCTTCATCTGCAGGCAATCTGATGCTATAGAAACAGCAAAATGCTACAGGAATATTGTAGTGTGAGGAAAAACACTATGGGCTAGCCATGATTAAGTAGTTTATTGATGACCAATGAGTATTTGTTAATGATAATGAAGATGTATTTTTTCCAAGTGAAATTTTAGGCTTAGTTTGTGGAGAGGAATTTTTTAATTTTGTTGTTAAAATGTCATGAAAATACACATATATGGAACACTTGTTATATCTATTTATACACATTTATGTTCCATGTGAAACTATGCATTTTATAAATATTTGCATCACATATCCTAGCCCTGAGAAAAAACACATAATACTCAAAGTATGATTGTGAAAGAGAAAACAGTGGCCATAATCTATTTTTAAAAGGCTTTCAAATACAATTACTATTTCAGAAAGATTGAACTTGTCTAACAAGATTGCATATTTATCAATATATTGCTCAAAAGCATAGCACCATGATTATCACAACAGTTGTCTATAAAACTGTATATACCAAGTTTCAAGGCTTTCACTATTTCATATAAGTTCAATCACATCTCAAATAATTACTATTTCCATGGATATAAGGATAAAACATTTTTAGGTCCTTATCATTTATTGGGAGTCTAAATGAGGACCTATTTGCCCAAGTTTAATATGAAGTCTTTCATAGAAAATAAAATGCTGCTAAGCTCCCAAACTTATAAACTATGTCATGAAGATTTATGTTATCCCTTTATTTTTTTTTTCAACTAATGCAGATGGACCTTACGGACTTCGAGTTAATTCTGATAAAGGACTAAAAGTAGGGGAAGTATTCACTGTTGAAATTGGAGAAGCCATCCTGTTTGATTGCTCTGCTGATTCGTATCCTCCCAACACCTACTCCTGGATCCAGAGGACTGACAATGCAACATATGTCATTAAACATGGGCCTCACTTGGAAGTTGCATCTGAGAAAGTAGACCAGAAGACAACTGACTATGTGTGCTGTGCTTACAACAACGTAACTGGAAGGCAAGATGAAACTCGTTTCACAGTCATTATCACTTCTGTAGGTAAGTGTGACATCAAAGGCAGGGATCCCAGTGAAACACACACACATGCTGGCCTTACTCTACCCATATTTGATAACCGTGTGGAAGAGAATATCATTGTGGGTTTGATTGTTGATATACTATAAGAACCTCTTTCCTGAGTTAACTAAGCAATGGCTTCTATAAGAGAAAGAAAACCAAAAACAGAATGGAGAAGAAATCCAATTTCTAACTCTGAGGGACTGAAAAGAAAAAGAGAATTCAATAAATTATGTACTTCTAAATATGCGTTCTTGCTCTCCTGATTTTACAAACAGGAATATAATAGAAGCAGGCTACTCATTTAAAAGGCTTATATCTTGTGTTGCATTCGGTCAGATGAATAAATTTCCAAGAGTTGGAAATCTGGTTTTCCTACTGTTTGACTCCCCTTCTCACTGTCTGTCATGGGCTTCCCTTCCTCTTTCATAATTTAAATACCTGAAATCTGTGGAAATTCTCAAAAGGGGTCCTGGAAGCTTTTAGTAGTCTGTGATATTTGACATTCTCTAGAAACCATCTGATTTTCCAGAAAGTTCATGGAACCACAAAAGGTTAAGAATCACTGCTTAAGATATTTATGTCCACCAAAGTCCTGCCCTCCTGAGCCTCATTTTCTCTTTCTATAGTATGATTTTATTCTCTCATATGATTCATTCACTCCCATGGCTTCATGCAACATTGGTGCATCCCAAATCTCCATCTTTAAAGCTCTACAGCTGCATACCTAATTCCCCTCTAGATGTCTTCGCTTAGAAGTACCAAAGGCCGCGTACAAGTCCAACATATCAAAACGAAACCAAACTACTACTTTCCCTCCAAATTACTACTCTTCCTGTATTCCCTGTTTCAGTGAATGGCCCTACTATCTACCAGCCTGAGCCAGAAATATAAATGCCACGTCAGGCTCTTTTCTTGCTTATTGCCCTGCCCAACATCCAGTCGCCAACTTTGTACATTCGTCTTCCTTCCTATCTCTCAGACCCATTCTTTTCTCTCCTTCTTTCTTCATGCTTCTTTCTTTTCTTCTCCCTCTCCTCCTCCTCTGCCACCTTCTCCTCTCTCACCTTCTCCTTTTATTTCTTCCTCTGCCACCACTATTTCTATTCCTACTATCGAATCCTTCCTGGATTCACCTTTGCATACAAAGAAGCCAGATCCTGCTTGGGAAACACCTGGGCAGGCATCAGTGTTCACAGTGCCTATGGCCGGGGGAACAAGTTTGCAAAAGGAACCACCATTACTACCTTCTCCACGGATGTCTTCTCTTTCTCTGTCTTTATAGCTCATTTATTTTCTTGAATAAATGAAGCAAGAATATAATCCCTGTAATTCATAGGCAACATTTTTCAGGATGCGGCCGTTGGGCCATGTGCATCAACACGACCTAGGGCGGTCTAATCATGTATTTTTATGAAGGCACAGCAAACCTCTTGGAGCAGGATCTTGCAGCTAGGACCTGAGAATCTGAATATTTAGCAAGCAAACGTGGGACAACTACTTGTTTAGGTGTTTTTATCTCTCTATTGCCTTTTGAATTTAGTAAAAATCTCTTAAAGAACAATTAATAATTATAAGACTATCACAAACCTACAGATTGATAGAGAAATATAGAGTGGATGGGGTCCTCCTGGACTCTTTAAAGCTGAGGGTACTCATAATTGCAAAAACATCTGAGTATATTGGAAGTTATACACTAGCATGGTGGGATTTGGGGGGTTTTATATGAAGAAAATACCACACTCTCTAGAAGAGTGCTATCCAGTAGAACTTCCTGCAATGAAGGAAATGTTCATTGTCTACACTAACCAATGTAGTAGTCACTAGCCTCATTTGGCTTTTAAATACTTAAAATATGGTTATGCAATTGAGGAACTGAAGTTTTATTTTATTGCATCTTTATCGGTAATCTGAATGTCATGCTTATTGCAGGTGAAAACACGGTTATAATATGTAGATATATACTGCCTTTCCCACTGTCTAAACTTTCTTCATTAATGTTCAGCCAAGGTATTTTCATAAGATCGGAAACTCCTAATATTTGATTAAGGTCTTATTACTAAGGTTGAAAGACAGCAACAGTCTTAATATCAAATATTGCCTTTTGCAAATTCTAAAAAACTTGTTTGACCTGTACAAAGACCACGCATTTGCTATTATAGTAAATAAGAGGAGCAGGTGCTTATTTTTCAGAGGGATTCAGGGTTGTCAACATTAGTGACCTCTTTATGGTTTTTAGAACTATATTTCAACCCCCAAATGTCCACAGAACTTTAAAACAGTGGCAAATGGCAAAGAAAATTAGTAGTATTGATGTGTTTTGTTAAATATTTGATTTTTTTAAAGTTTTCCATATGAATGAATCTCTGCAATGCAGATTAAGTGTATACCAACCTACAGTAAGAAAAATGAACATTACTTGTAACTGTCAATTGAACACTACTGACCATCCACTCTGATGAGCAATCTGTATTAATATCTGTGGAGGATTTGAAATAATTTTGAGGGAAAATGCACCTGCCTTTGAGATATTTTCAGAACCAAGCTGTGTTTGGTGTAACCAGAATCAGGTTATAAGAAACAGATGAACCTCTTTATTTTTAATGAGGCAGAGGATGTGGCCAGTGAAAAAGTCTCAGCAATAAGATGTAGAGGGCAAAGGAAAGGGGAGTCAAAGATGACTCCGAGGTCGCCAATATGGAAAGAAAATAATGAGGTCAGGAAATAATCAAAAGTTTTATTGGGGACTTTCATTTGGGGAGAGGAAGGCTGGTGAGTGCCACAATTAGATCTGTGTTTTCCTGCCTGTGTAAGAGAGTGCCTTCCACCACTGTGGGCTATGAGTCACATCTACTTGGAGATATTAATTGACCTTTCTGTATCTCACTGGAGATAGCCTAAAGGAAACAGGGCAGTGGTTAAGATCACACAGCTAATAAGTAATAAAATAATATCTGAATTCAAAGCCCTTGTTTTAAACCACTATATAAACTGCTTTTTATTGAGAATATCAATAAGACTATGATCTTCCTAAAAGATATGTCACATATACAAGATAGTGTGTATTTTCTTACCACCTTAACTAATTTTATGCTATATACAAAGAGACACTCAGGTCTGTCCATGATATGTGTACACATTCATATTAATTAGAAATTATGAAATATCTGTAACTAAAAATATCTAGGATATAAGTGTCAAGGAAGAAAGAATAGAAATTAAGATAGTAAATTAGCATCTGTGTTTTAAAAAAACAATTTTATTATGCTAATTAAAGACTTCCTTGAATGCAGGTGTTCCCACTTTTAAGTTTTAATGGGGTCTAAATCACTATCATGCCATGAATATATACAAAATGAAAGTATGTACGATTAGAATTCAAGCATCCACATTTAATGAAGACATTCTAATTATTTGAGTTCCCAAGGTCCACATGGCTGTAATTTGAGATTTAGACATAATAGAGATGTTTTCAATTTGTATGCAATCCTGAGAAGGGAATAGGGAAATGACCCAAGGCAGGAAAATGAATTTACTAATTTCTTCCATCTACCTAGAAATTTCTCAGGTTAAGATATCCAGGAGGTGTATTTCACTTTGGGCCACAGGAGAAAATGACTGAGATAGAACTACATCCCTGATATCCAGATCCTGAGAACTTAGGTGACATCCCCATGAGCATCTAGCACAGAATAACTGGATCTGTCAGATGGGGCCATGGTGGAGTGTGAAAATAGCACATCCCCCAATATGGCACCTTCATCTCTGCGGGGACATGAATCAGCTGCCATAATCCGTGAACATATTGGATGGGAGCGAACTCAGACCCCCATTCTGATCTAGAAATAGGCACGCTGACTGGTAGCATATGGCTGTCTCGTTTTGGGTGCAGTCTCTCAAACAGCCGGGTTGCGATACCATGGATACCACACCTCTTGCCCATATTTACACTTAATATGTGATTTCATTTTATTTGTTTGCCTAAGGAGGGGGCAAACAGCATTTGCACTAAGGCTTTGGTAAATGAGTCAATCGTGTTTAAATAATGGGGAGAATGGCATGCTGTGTCCTAAAAAGTAGAAACCTCTCTGGAAGGAGAAAGACTGGGGCTCCTGGAAGTGTCCAGAACTACATTCAGGACCCCACACATTCTCTGTGGCACCTGGGTCAGAATTTCCCTCCTGTCTTATTTCAGGTTGTGCTTCTGGAAGCACATCTCTCTTAAACACTTGCCTATAGCTGAGACTGCAGCAACTATGCCCCTTGATTTGACCCTTGACATGTTTGGCACTTTTTATTTTGAGAAAGGGAGAATATTGCAAGTTGTGGACCTGGTAAATCTTGAATGTTCTGAGACAGAATGAAGCCAAGGATTTGGGCTGACAGGTGCTGGTCTCTGCAGGGTGGTTCTCTGACAGAGGACAGAGGCCAAGGGGAAGAGAGGCAAGAGGGCAACAGGGAGGAGTCTGAAGAAATAAGGAGGTGATGGGAAAGGGAATGAGAGGGATCCCCTGTAGGACAGAATGAGCAAAGTTGGTCATTTCAGAACACACATATCAAAGGTGATAGAAAGTTAAAAATGGCAGAGAGGAGAGATGTGTCCTAACACCAGACTTGATGTGCTTTACTCTCTCTGTCTTATCTAGTGGAAGACATCCATTCATCATATGTTAAACCTCCTACCAGGCCTCAGAATCCTGGACTGCCTGGCTAAGAGCCAATATGCCGGGGTGTAGCTTCATTAGAATGAGAAGTACTCTGAAATAATAACTATTAGCATATTTTCAAGTTTACAAGGGGGAAAATAGCTGAGACTATACTAAAATGTTTTTCTGCAGTTTCTCAGGGTAAAGCACATTGCAGAAACTTGACTAGAATAAGTTAACGTTGAATACTTTTTTGAGGGTTCAGGGGTTATTAAGTTTTGGTGAAGGTAATCTGGCCATCAAGAAGAGAGAGAGAGTAAAGCACATCGAGTCTGGTGTTAGAAAAGGCTAAAGAAAAAACTAAATATATGGGAGTCTACTTGCCAGTTATAGAACCATTCTTTAACCACAGATTAACAGGAAAAACCTGAACTTGCAGTCAGAAAAAAAAAACCCTTATGTTCCAATATCAGTTCTAGGACTTACTGACTCTGGCAAATATTTTAGTTTCTCTGAGACTATTTCTTTATCAGTACCTAGAAATGGTGCTTTAATTTTTCTTACTATTTTCATTATTACTGGCATTATACCAAATAAATGGGAAAAACATATACATTTGGTTTTATGTGTACATAATGCTCAACAAAAGTACCCTGTGAGAATTGATTAGCTATCCAGGGAATTAAAAATAGAGTATTGAGTGTTTTACTATTATTTCTAAATTATGTGCTACACATCCTTTATATCAGTAAAAATTACAACTTTTGTAGGTATATATGCACACAATTTTTTTGCAGTTCAGTTACTAGCATGCCAATAAATATAATGTCATATTTGCATAATAAACATGTAAAACTCTCTGGCTGCCCCAAATCACATAATAGCAGAGCAACAGAGAACTTGAAAATCAATCACTCTAACCTCCTCATTTTACTAATGTGGAAATCCAGACCTTCAGAGTCAAGGGGCCTCACCCAGAGTTGCCCAGCTCTTTAAAGAGAACAAACTTGCAAAGTGGAGCTGAAACTTCACAAAGAGATCAACCAAGTGCGGAAGTAATTCCAAACTAAAAGCTCAGCTTTCTAATAGTGGGAGAATATGAAATTGTTCTACAAATTATTAGCAAGGAGAAAAGGAGGAAAAACGATCCTAATACGTTTTATGATGTTCTAGACCAGGTCTAGAAGCAGCAAGTTGCCATTCTGTTAATTTTTAAAATTTTTTATTTATTGATTTTAGAGAGGGTGAGGAGAGAGAGAGGGAGAGAAGCAATGATTTGTTCTTCCACTTATTTATGCATTCATTAGTTGATTCTTGTATGTGCCCTGACCAGAGATCAAACCTGCAACCGTGGTGGATCAGGACGACGCTCTAACTTAAACCACCTCACATTTATTTCTTCCTCCCAGAGTTAAAAAGAGTTAGAGTGGGTGCAGGGTGAAAGGGGTCAATGGAGGAAAAAGGGAACATCTGTAATATTTTGAACTATAAAAAATAAATAAATAAATAAATAAATAAATAAATAAATAAATAAATAAATAAATAAAAAGAGTTTAACATAAAATCTGATTAAAGGAAAAAATTTTACACAGGTATCATAATCCCTTGAAAAGAACATTTTTAAAACACAGTTTTCTCAATGCATTTCAGAAATCTATAAACTTCTCATTTGAGATCGTAAAGACTTTTAATAATGTGAAACAAACTGCTTAACTCTTAAAGACTTAAAGAGAATGTGCGAACAGCATTGTATGGGAAAATTAAAAGAGACAGAATGATTTCCATGACTTTTGAACTGGAGTTTGACATGTGTGATCTATACCACATTATAGAAAGATACTGGGAAATGGAAAATGAAAGTGTTTAAGTGGAAAGCCAGGAAAGTGTATACAGGTCTGCAGTGAAATGGGGAAAGATTGCGGTTTCCTCCTTGTCTTGGCTGCTGGAGACCTCAGCAGAGGTTGTATGGTGAAAGATGACAGAGCCAAGTGGCCACCATGTCTTCACCACACCCACGTGCTCCAGGCCGTTATCAGCACTGTGGAACAGGAGTGACATTCCATGACTTTCACTCCCCATTAAGCTAGACAGAGACAGGCAACTCCATGATTCATTTCCACATCGATATCTGATCCACACGATAAAATGAAAGACACCTGTTACTCCCACTTGTGGGAGGTCACAACTACTTCCCACTTTATAGATGAACTCTATGACTAAACATATTACAGTCCGAAACTGGTGTTAACATTGCCCTGGTTAATAAGTTGTGTTAAAATAACATCAAAGTGATGCAGCTCAAAGTGTCGAGAATCTGGGGTCCCCTCTGGACTCTGCCACTTACTAGCTGAGTCACTTTGGGCAAGCCTCAGCTTCCTCATCTGTAAGAGGGGATAATAATATCTCCCCAGTAAGATTATGGTAGACATTCAGTGGGTCGCTCTGCTTCATGTATTCTTAGAATAGAGCCTGACACATGGTAAGCACTCAGCAGATGTTAGCTATTAGCACTAATAAAAGGAATGACTTGCAAAACAAAGTGAATTTTAGTCACAAGGTGGGACTTTAAACATTTTAACAATCATACACACATTCTATTTTAGGAATGAAATTTCTTTATTGGTCAAAAACTAGTAAACTGTATTTAAAATAAACACCTCCCCTTTCACATCTTTAATCATATGCCACCGCCCTAGAAAATTCACATACCTGAATTATTCTGAAAGAGCAAGATGGAAGGAGAGACAGAACAACCTAGCATCTGGGGATGTTGTATACATCGAGAACATGAAAAAGGAAAAAAAAAAAGTATGACATGAGCTATTTGCTATCTCTAGTACAACAAATCAGTATTATCCTGGCCAAACCACGACATTTCCAATCACAGATGTCCTCAAAGAGTTTGCTGTGTGCTCTAAAATAAGTACATTCCTTTCATTTAGACTCTCATTCATATTCTCTCTCATATATACAGGGTGTCCCCCAAAATGTGTACACAGTTCAAATAGTTATAAAGGCACTGTTTATTAAAATACATTTCATTTTCAAAATGTGTGTATACATTTTGGGGGACACCCTGTATACTTGCAGCAGTGTCTCATTTAGGATAAAGCATGAACCAGTCAAACATTTAGAGCAATTTATTATTGATCTTCAATAAAAATGTTAAAACTCTGTCTGTCCCTTCATTTAGGACTGGAGAAGCTTGCACAAAAAGGGAAGTCACTGTCCCCTTTAGCAAGTATAACTGGAATATCACTCTTTTTGATTATATCCATGTGTCTTCTTCTCCTATGGAAAAAATACCAACCCTACAAAGGTAGGTGAAAATTAGAAAAAAATTTTAAATGGCTTTATATATGTACTAAAAAGTATCTTACTGTGTTTTTTCCTCTCTTGGTTCTAGTAATAAGACAGAAGCTAGACAGCAGGTAATGCATATATGTCTATGAAAGGAATTTTTTTTAATGCTTTTTTCTCAGTTATGAGACTGACAGAAATGCCAATTTGTTTTTTCAGGCCAGAAACAGAATACAGAAAAGCACGAACATTTTCAGGTAATGGCCAGGCTGAAAGGGGCTATTATCAATGTCATGCATATTAATGAATATTGTTGATATTAATTATTCTACATAAAGCACTAATGAAATAATAGAATTCGCATGAGCTAATATTAATGTGATACCAACAATCCCTTACCTTTGAATAGTGCCTTCACTTTGCAAAGGGATATCCCTCGCACTGGTTTATGTAAGTCGCACAAGCCTGTAAGACAAGCACTCTTAAGAAGGAAAGGCACTCAGCAGAACTAAGGCTCAGAAAGCTGAAGTCACTGGCCTGCCCTCACTGAGTTCTGCTGAACTCTATTCCATTGATCCTATCATTATTTTGAAAATGCCCAGGGTTCCCTCACTTTGTTAATTCCAAAGGCAGATACAGAGCTGGCAGCTCCATCCCTGGGAGAAGAAAGGGGGCTCCACAGGTTTGCTGCCTCTTTGTCCCCAGCATGCTCCTCATTGCCATCCCTACTGACTCCCTACTGAGTTGTTAAAAGTTAACAATGAGACTTGGAGTCACACAGAGCTGGGTTTTAGTCCCATATATGCCACTTTCCCCAGGTGTCACCTTGGGAAAATTATTTTTCCTGACCTCAACTTCCTCATCTATAGAATAAAGATAATAACTTCCCCCCAGGGTTGCTAAGAGAATTCAATGCCATGATGTGTGTGGAGTGCCTAATATGATGCCTGGACACTTAGTAAATACAGGTCTTCCTCCTCTTATCTAGTCCTTTCTCATAAATGATAGCGCGTCGGAGCTGGGAAAGACCCCTGAGAGACCATCTGGTTCCTCCTGCTATTTTTCAGATGATAGTTTAGTGATCTTGATGTTGTATTGTATTCTATTTTGTATGTATGGGCAGCTATAGTTATTTATTTACTCTTATTAGTCCTGATGGTCTCTGTTAGATCCAGCAGGGTGCAGTAGATATTATGAGTGGATTAAGACCTGCTGTGGCTGTAAGTCTCTGGTAATGAGAGTTACAAAGGACAAGACAGCCCACGTGTATTTATTTGCATATATAATACACTGTTCCCACAGCAGGCTTTAAGAATACTTGTCCCAATTCAGTTTCAGTTCTTGGTTTCAAAAGGAGGGATTTCCAACACTGCTTAGCGCCAATATGACTATAAGGGATAGGGAATCGTTAAATTGGTTTTATACACACACCGCCTGAAGCAAACAATACAGGTAAGTTTTACAAAGGCTTAGAAACAACACTAGCAAGTTGAGGCATTTGGTTTGTAAACAGTATTTGTTTTCCCTTTCAGGCCATGAAGATGCTCTGGATGACTTCGGAATATATGAATTTGTTGCTTTTCCAGATGCTTCTGGCGTTCCCAGGGTTGGTTTCCCTAGTGGCTGATTAGCAACAAAGTAGAATTTGGCTGCACCAGAGGTGCAAGCCGCAATCGGTCAGGCCCTGGGGCAGTGTGGCCAAATGGTGCCTCCCGGCGCAGTGTTGACTCTGGACCACGCTGCTGGGTCTGGGGGGCTACAGCATCTTCCTTAGACTTTATAAATAAGGCTAACACAAATCAGGAAGCGACACTAATTCTTAAACATTCTTTGCCTGGGAAGCTCAGTGAAGAGAGAATTAACTAGGTAGAAGGTTAAGAGAGCTGAATAAAGGGGGAGTCGGGAGACCCCAGTTGAAACCACTCTGCGTCACTGCAGTGACTGCGGCTGTCAGCCTCACTGAGCTCTCTCTGCTCCTCAGCTTCCCCTGCATTTCCCTCATATCTCTTGAGGACGCTGCAGACAGCTGATCACACTGATCATACCCTTGAAGGTGCCTTATGCTCTTCAGAAGAAAAGTACCATATAAATCCAAAGTATGCAAACACACATCTTTATTTTTATCCTAAAGGTGCATGAGATGGGGGGCGGGGGGCCTTTTACACAGTTGAAGCCATTTTTTTTCAGTCTACAGAGACAGGGTCTTTTAAAGCAATCAGTTTTGTTTCATAGACATGCAGAATGTTGCTCTGAGCTATTCAGCTCATTAACATCTAGAAGCAATCTTTCCCCAGCTTCCTTACTCCCCTTCGATAGTTCACATAAGGAAGGAGCCATAAATAGACTACTTGCTTCTGGGCAGTTTTAAAAGATTTGCTGTTAGGGATGGTTACCTCAATTGTTCAGAGAATCCTATCAATGTAAGGTTCCTGGCCATGGGCTTTAGTTCACAAAAGCCATGTGACTAATGCAGGGGGACTGATTGGACCCACCCTCCTATGGGTGGGTCAGTAGTGCCAGTGCCCACATCTTCGTAGAGGAAGGGCAGGACTGCATTGCAAACACTTTGCAGTCTCAGACAGGATTGGCTCACCCTTTACTCTACAACCAAAAAAACAAATATGTGGTGGATCAGTTATTTCAAACAGCTTCCCACCATGGCAGAAGCACCCCTTTTAGGTGTGGCCTTTAAATGGGAGAGCAGAAAACCAAACAGCTAATAAGACTTGGAGCTGAATTTTTGAAGTCAGGAGTTTTTTCATTTTAAACCAGGCACAGTTTTTATTCCTAGGAATTCATTAGAAAAGAGTGAGATCTATGTAAGAAGCTTTACAGTGAAACTTGTGATTAATCAGTACGCAGTTTGAAGGTTTTATTGGGAGGACCTCTATTTGCTGGAAATGCTACAATCGGCAAGAACTTGAGGAAGAAATGAGTGTTTTCATTATGCATCGGAAGCCCCACTTATTTCCATCATAAGTAGAATAACGTAATTTGGAGCTATGCGCATCTTGAGAGCTGAAATCTCCTAAGGAATTAGCCTAGGCTCTTCACTGGGCCCGGTGCTTTGGGGAGAAGTGAAAAATCAATACCAGAAGGAGGAGAACAGGACATATGTAGGAGAAGAAGCTAGAATGGCAATTATGTGTGAAGACTAGCAGCAAAATGCAATGGCTTGCAGAAGAAAGGGAGAAATACTAATAAAACCAAGAAGTGAACATTGAAGTTAAGAAGGGAAATAAATTCAACTACTAACTTTTTGAGTTTTGAAAAAATCAGAATCGTCTCCTACCTGGTTGTGGTGCGTGTACAGATGGAACACTCCTCCTCTCTCTAGTTGCTCTACATTTCACTGTCCCAGTAGCACCTCTTCCAGAAGCTGGACAGAAAGCAATGGCATGAAATCAACAAATTTCTTACATGCTAACAGCTCTAATATTAGGTTAGGTAAGTTAGTTATTATTTACAGACTGCTTTTTATCATAACCCCTGAATGCCTCCATACCAAAGAAAATCAAGAGTTGATCTCAAGTATAAACTGTAAACCAAAATCTCTTTGACACACAAAAGTAGAACAAATCATATATTCTTTGGCTGCCCGTGATAGTTTTAGCAAGTGGAATGGAAACAGGCAGTCTCCAGAAAAACACAAAGCTAAGATGTTCCAGTATAGCCTAGCAAGCCAAACTGGGATGAGATAAAGAACTTTCAGATGATTTATCAAGGGCAAAGAGTCCTCTAAATGGAGCCACATAGAGGGCAGAAAGTGATCAGAAACAGGATGAATAGAAGGAGTTTGGGATAGGGAGGGGAACCAGGCTTTAGCTAAATAATCGGTAGGCAGTGTTTACAAAATTTAATATAAAGTCATTAAATACAAAGAATAGGAGTTAATAAAACATGAATCCCAGTTTCAATAAAATACATGTTGGTTTTTAACCGGACAGAAATACACTACTATACTTTCCACATTCATCCAAGCCTTTAGTTTCTAGAGCCCATTATCACATTCAAACGTAAACATCTCCCTCTGTGTGTTCTATGTTGCTTGGCACTGTCTTTTTACTAACTTGCAATGTGATGAGGGCTTTTATCTTCTTTTCAACCACCCTTGCAAACAAAATTGGCAAAGGGTGCAAAAAAGTCATCGAGATGTAATATGAAAGATAATAATATGTGCTCTCTGATTCTAAGCTGTCCTGATATCTTCTCTTTTGCCATTTTTCTTCCTATAATATTTCCTTTACAGTACTGCCAGCTTTTGTTCTTAAATGAAGAAAAAAATGATAGCTTTGCCAAGCTATCCCTCTTCTGACCCGACAGCTGTGCTGCTACACTAAATACCATAGGTTACGTGCAGGGAACTGTAGCAAGGAGGAAATGAGCATTGTAGGGAAGATGAACAGCTCTAATTCTCTACTCATCACTACCTTCAGTTGTTTGCAACTGTGCAGCATAGTGGAAATACTATTTACTAGTCTGCTAATTATTTTTAATGTGCTACATTTTCTAGATGCCCAGTAGGTCTGTTCCAGCCTCTGATGGTGTATCAGGGCAAGACTTGCACAATACAATTTATGAAGTTATTCAGCACATCCCTGCCCAACAGCAAGACCACCTAGAGTAAGTATGAACCTGCCTTTGACGATGCTACGTTGGTAGGGCTTGGCATTCAGCTCCGGCTTTCCCCAGAATTTAAGTCTCAGAAGAAAAATGCTAAAATGGAAAATTATAGCTTCTGTACATAGTTCCCCATCTGAAAATAATCTTAAGAAACAAAACAAGTAAACATACAAGTATCTCCCGGGGCCGTGCACTTGGGCCAGTGGAGGAAATGAGGAGCTCTGGAATCCAGCATTTCCCCCAATGAATCCACATCTGGGTATGAAAGTGACCTTCAGGCCAGGGCTCAAACCACCATGGTTATCTTGATGATTTTCCAGTGGCTATGGTGGTTTTAAGGCCAATGATCTCTCACTATAAACAGGACCAGGAAGACAACAACAACAGCAAAATAATCTACAAAATGTGCTCAACACTGTCACTACCCAAATGCCCAACCTCTCACAGACTCAAAGCAGTCTACTCCCAAGTGAACAGAACCAGAGAGAGGACTGGCCTCCCACTGAGAGGACAGAACCTTAGCTGAGGCCAATGCCAGGAAACTGCTTACCCTGTTAACCTCAGGACTAGCACTGAGGAGCACCCAACCCTCCCAGCCTCAGAGAAGCTAAACTTACCGCCTTTTGAAATAATGAAATGAACTTCCCCTTTTTTGTGGGCTTTAGCTGCTTACAGGCATAACTGCCACAAATCATCTTCCATCATTTCTTTATTTGTCATTTATTGACTTTGAAAAGAACATCAATAACCACACAGGAACTTCCCCTCTGGCAAAAGAAACAGTTCTACTGAAGTAATTCATGCACACCTCTGGGTAAATACCAAAAATAACAGCCAGCAGCCGATGAATGCATGGGAAATCACCACGCAGGGAGGAGACCCAGTCTTGGGAGCTATGTGGTCATTTAAGGGCTAAATAAGTGGTAAGAGCAACCTCGGAGAGGCCCACAGTGCATTCCTTCTTGCCCCAGGAAGCATGGAGAAAAGGGAGTCCGGTAAATTAAGAGAAGACCCTGATGGAGCTAGGAACTTCTGTTTTAAAAAGAAAGTTGTTTTAAAGCATATTTTTAATCTAGTAAAACGCAAGAGTGGAATATTATTCCATGACAATTTAAAAAAAAACAACTCTCTAAAATGATACCTAACCCTCTTTACTTTCTGGAATAGAAAATTAAGGAATAGTTTTCTTTGTTTAATATAAAGAATAGAAAGAATTTTGAGAGTATGTCTGCTTCCTAATTTTAAAATTGTATCCAATTAAAAAATGTATCCTATTTAAATTCACTTGTTTTTCTACATGTCCTTTAACCTACATATCTATTTTTCCAATTAGAATGCAAACAAACCAGATGAAAACTTGAATTTAACTTTTAAGGCTCCCCATAATGAAATAAATGCTCATTTAAACTGTGGAATATGGCAATTTTAGATCACAAAATGATGAGGTGGTTTTGCATGTGAAAAAAAAATATATCTCCAAATTAAAAAAAAAAATTAAAAAATCACCCTCTGAAATGAGAATGCTTTCAGACATGAGCAAGACATGAGCAATATCTTCACAACTTTTGGGAAATATAAACTGTATTTCAAAAATAAAATTTGAAGGATGAAAGTAAAGCAGAAATGCTCTTTTTCAAGCACATAAAGGACTATTCAAAACTGCTGTTGAGGACATGCTTCTTCCGGGGACAGTGGACCCAAGAGCACCAGCCCACACCCCCAGCCCTAGTGCCCCCCATCCCCGTGGCCTCTCTCTTCTCACCGACCTCTTCCCCTGGAGCCCTTGTTTCCCTTTGTGTGTCTTTGTCTCCCAGTGACTCTCTTTCTTTACCTCCATCCTCTGATGTTGTCAGTCTCTGATTCCGCCCTACTCTTTTTCTCTTTCTCTGTAAGACTCTCTCTCCCTTCTCTCTAATATCTATTTAAAATTTTCCCTCTGTCTCTCTTCCAAACCCATCCTAACGGGCAGCCAGCATTTTTCACAGTGCTATTTTCCTTGAATACAGGTTTAGGTGACCTATTCTAAGTTTTAAAAACAAACAAGTAGAATATTTTCTTTTTATTCCATCAGAAACTGTTTTGCACTTATTTTATTTACAGTCAATCCACAAACATTTCCAGGACATTAACTATGTGTCAGGGATAGAGATTAAATGAGACTCAGTCTTTTAAGGATTTCATACTTTAGTGGGTTCCTATTTGCTTATTTTAACTAAAGACTAGTGGTCCTTAGTAGAATAAATATTCCTCAGTAGAATAAACGTGGCCTAAACATACAGAGCCCATTTTTCTCTCCTGATTGCCTGTGGTTTTATGCTCTAGGTCCAATTAAATTCAAAGATCAATTTCATGAATAATGCAGTATTGCATGTGGTTAGTGAATCTCCCCAGCCCCCTTTCGCAAGGTGAATGTGCTAGTTCTGGTAAAGAGTCCTAACTCACTGCTTTCTTTTACCTCTATCTGACAGTTGCTTCTGAGATAGCAACAACAGCCAAAAAGTTATTTTCTTTGGCTCTTCTAGCAGTGTTTTCATAACTACATGTGTCTATTACCTAATTGGACTGGTGTTTAACAAATTGGTAAGTTGACCTGTGTTCATATTCTGATACTCAGCCTAATTATTTGTTCATTGAACTTATGGCTGCATTTATTTAAATGCTGTCTGTTGACCTCATTAATTGCCCTTAGCACGGTTTGTTTTGACCCCAAGATTGGCTGTTAGGATCTTAAAAAACAGGACATTCAAGTAGGAAAACCTTTAGTTTCAAAAGAAAATTATCTACAGAATTTAGTGATTGCTTACTCTTTTCACTTTTTAGCTTATAAGTGTAATTTTCTTGAACTAAGTCAAAACACTCATGTTATTTGGAGCTATGGGAAGGAATGAAAGGATATAAGGCTCATCTATCTTGAGAATTGGAAATCTATAGAATATGTCACATATTTTAACATCTCTTTGCCAGGTGAGCACTGGTGGGCAAGCAGTACACTGGAGTGAAACAATGAAGGAACATTTTGAGGAAAAACAGTGGGAATGTATATTCATCCGGAATCAGTGAAGAAATCAAGCCCAATACAGCTTGATCCCTTTAAACGCAGGCTAGAGACATTTATAAAAATTGGACTGCTGGTTTCCCAGCACACACAGAATGCATTCTGCTATAGAGGAGCATGGCTGGGCAATGTCCTTGGTGGACAGTTTTATCATGCTGACCAGCAGAAAGAAAAGGCTGCAACTTTCCAATTTGTCTTTTTGTATCAAGTTGCTCTAAAAAGCTCAATTAGTTCTAACCTATACTTTCACTTTCAACAACATTGACACTATCATATCTAACCTACAAATAAAGTTGAAACTTTATATTTGGAAAAATTTCAGCAGGCTTTGTTTCATTAAATTCTCACTACCGTTGAGATGGCTGTTATATTTCATTCCCAAATTTCCTTCCTGCTATTTGTAACACAGAATAATGATGGTTGTCACAAAAGCAAGACGGTGCCTTCTCCTAGGTTGTCAATCACCAATAGTGTTTTTGAAAAGACATAAAATGCTGAAAGAAATGACTCATTAAAGTCTTTTAATTTCTGTTCAAGAAAAGATGGATTCTGAATAAATTATTCTGTTTTTTTTGTGGGTTTTTTTGCTTTTATATGGTCTTGATTCTTTGTCTTATAGAGTAAAAATTTTGCATAAAAGTTAAATTGTAGAATTAGGTTTCTTTTCCTTATTTCTGAATGTGTAATTAAATGTAGATTATAGAGAACTACTAAAATAAGAATCTTGCTCTCTCACTGCTATCTTTTTTCAGACTTGAAATTTTTACTGTATTGAATTGCTGATTCTGGGGAAGGTCTCCTTCCTTGTATGTTGCAGTATTTTAAAAAATCAGTTAGAAGTCAAATGACAGAATTAGATAACACTATTTCACAAACCCCAGATGAAATAAGTGATTCAGGTAGCAATCATCATGAGGCAAGACTGCTAGATCAAAGATACCAGATAAAACTACTGGATAACCAAAGGTCAAGTTGCAGAGACTGTGAGAGGAAGGTGGTCTGAGGCCTAGGGAGAAGCAGGTATACAAAGTGGCAATAGTCAGCAGTTAGGGCACAGTGAGGTCCAGGGAATGGGGACAGAACAGTCATCTGAGTCTTATTGGCTGCAAACACTCTGACCTGGTAATGCCACCCTTTAGAATTTTCTCCTAGCCGTATAAAGGTAGAAACAACCTAAATATCCAACCATAGGGGATTTAAAAATGGCATTAATGACACTATATCCATACAATGGTTCATACTGCAATTATTGAAAAAGAAAATATACGACTATATTTAAACTGACTTTAAAACTATGTCTCATGGCCTTATTTTATCCAGAAGAAATAAGTCAAAAGAATAGCATTTCTTGTTTAGAGTATTTCAAGTGAACTACTATATTTACACTGTACCTCCCATATTTCCATAGAAGCACATGGTAAAAAGAAAATTAAGACTAAGTTCCACAACTGCCCTTATATATTTTTCTGCTGAAAAAGTCTATCAGTTCTACCACAAATCTTTTCTTTTCCAATTAGTAAAATATATTGTATCTGATTAGAAAAGGAATTCATGCTCATTATAAACAATGTATAGAGAGTTAAAAATGCAGAAGGCTAGCCATAAGACAATTCAAAAGACCAGTAGAGGGTAGATCTTAAATGCTCTCATGACCAAAAAATTGTAATTATGTGAGGTAATGGATGTGCTAACTAACCTTATTGTGGTAAATACTTTACAATATATAAATATACCAAATATTTATACCTTAACCTTACACAGTGTTATATGTCAGTTATATTTCAAATAATATCACTTGTAATCTCACCTCTTAGAAATAATCTGTTAGCATTTTCCTAGATTAGTTAGGCATATTTATTCATATTCATTCCAGTTCCAGGAAGGATTTGTGGTAACTCATATAAATGCATACTATAACAAGATAAAATACACGCAAATACATTAAGTTGACAAAGAAAACAGGATGACGGAACAATGAGAGTTTCCAAAGGCAAGGTGAAAGTGGAAATGATGCTAATAAGCAGGATGGTGAATTCCCCTCCACCTCTGAGTGTGGTTTTATACCGCTGAGATCACGGAGCGCGTACAGGTGCATGTGAAAGCTGAATGCCATGGGTCGTTATCAGAGCCAGAGAAAGGTTGCGATTCTGCCGCAGGGCTAGAAGAGGGCAGGTCAGCTTCCCCAGGCCCCCGCTACCCAGGCCCGTCCGCCTCCCCCCCCTTTCTCAACCCTGAACCCTCCCCTCTCTCTCCCTGCCCGAGGCCCTCACCTCTCTCCCTTGGAGGGCAGGCACCGGCTACAAAGAGCTGTGCTTTCTTCTCCCTGTTCCCCTTCCTAGACCCAACCCTGGGACACTTTAAACCTCAGACGGTCACATGACGCACAAATCAAAATCTTATAAAAAGTATGCACCAAGATAGCTGTTTTTATTAGTTTTAGGTTTGGGTTTTGGTTTTGGCTACTTTTGTGTATCCCTCCAGAGTGTCTTACCACAAGCCAAAGGAAATTCAAACACATATTCTTATTTTTTTCAAACTCACTTTCAATCGCTTGTAATTCCTCTCATTTCTGTATCTCTCTCACACACACAAAAATACACAGACTCTCTTAGCGCATGGTTCCACTCGGCAGCGAGGAACTGCTCAAGGGGAAAATGTGAAAGGATCTAGAATCCAATTAACTTTGCTGTCATTGGGGTGTGACACCGAATGACTCACTGCTTTTTTAGTAAATGGGGATGAAAATCTCATAAATTAATCAAGGTTTCTAAGGGAAGGGATGAACCAAACCCAGATGTTCACCCTAATTAACAAATTAATCTTTAAAATCCAGCCTCAAGTTCTTTCCTTATTACTAAACATAATCTTAGCTATTGTTAAAGTTTTTAACTTTATATTACTGCTTCTAACTTGGAATAGAATTATATTCCCAGTGAGTATTATTTTTAAATAGTATATCCTACTGATAGACTTTTTAAGTAAAAAAAAGTACTTATGAATAAAACCGTTTTCCTTGTTTATCTGACATTTGTGCATGTCTGTTAGTAAGACAATTTCAGTGAAACTGCACATGCACACTCAGAGAAGGTCCATGTGATCCCTCAGTTCCACAAGATCATGTACCTTATAAAGTTTCATTAAAATAATAAAATTAAGTAATAAAGTACATGGCATATAGGTAGCTATTTTACTATATATTATTAAAGATTTAGTTTTAAAGTTTTTATTTTCTGCTTCTATATTGCTATGTATCCCTGTGAATTCCCATGTCATTCTTATATATTCCTCTAAAGTTCATGGTCAGATATACACGGTGGGACAAAAGTAGATTTACAGTTGTTTGTATGGAAAATAATACAATAATAAATAGTAATACAAAAATAAATTCTGTTTAGCATACTCACAACTGTAAACCTACTTTTGCCCCACCCTGTATATGATTGTGTATGTTTTAGTTGAAAACAAACATTTCTTTCTCATAAGCAGACATGGAAATCAGACATGGCACGTGGATTTAACACTGTTACTCTCCTTCCTTCTGTCTCCCAGACACACTGCTTATTGCGGTTACCACGTTAACCTTATAAACACTTTCATGCCCTTATTTCCTTGGATCTTCCTAAGAACCTTGTGGGCTAGAAGCCTGCATGCCCACTTTACAGATGAAAAAAACAAAGACTCAGGAAGTTCAAAAGACTTTCCTAAAGTCACTGAACCAGTAAGTGGCAGAGCTGATCTTAAACAGCACCTCTGGCTCCAAGTCCAGGGTCAATTCCAATGCTTCCACCAAAATTCCAATAGTGTTCCCTTGGCCACACTACAAGTTCTTTCCTAAGGAATTACTGACAAGAGGAATGGGATTACCTTGATTGATAAATACTCAGAATTTACTCCCCTGGAGAGAGAGATAAAGCCCCAGAAGCACCTAGTTGAGTGGAGGAAGGGTGGATATCTAACAAAACTGGAAGTTTTTATGGAAAAAAGGAACTTGGAAATGATACAAGATAACTTGAATGAAAGCAAATAAAGAGGGAAATACCTACTTCAGGAAATTAAAGAGAAGTCAAGGAAGGTTAAGAGGCAGTAGTTAAGGGAGTAAGAGAACTCGGAAAGAAATGTTTAGGATGCTGTATGTAGGTTTAATATGATTTTGAATCCACTTGTTCATGACTTAAGTGAAGTTGTTTTAATCTACTTGTTCATGACAAAGACAAATTTAAAAGTTGCTTTTAAATAAGTATGAAGTCCTGCCATCATTCTACATCTGTTGTGGTTGATAAGCAGCCAGCAGCCCAGCGGCTGAGGGGCCACACTGGGGGCTTATTGACAAGAATGTGTAGTGAAGCAACTATGGCAAAGGCATATTTAGACTATAAATACTAAGAGTTTGTGAGGACTATTTGAGTTTGGGTTTAGAGGAAGTGGCTGTTCCCTAACCTAAAAACTCTCTGAAGACCTTTGGGGCTTTGGCTCCTGTCTTGGGGAGACACTCCATAGACAGTGGTGCTAACCACTCAGTGGTCCCTCGATAAAGATTAGCCCACCTACCAACACACTGGCATCTTTGTTCCCTAGCAACGTGCTCTAGCAACAGGGGACTTTTACTTTTGCACTGGCAACTAGAAATCAGCACTTAGTTCGTCACTGACTCTTAAGGTGCCGCCTCTTATAAAAAGGTGCACATCATATTAAATTTGGGCTTTATTCCTTCCCTGCCCCTTGCCTGGAACAATAGTGTGACTGATCTGACATTTGTTTGGAGTTATTTCTTTATTTGACTTATTAAGAGATAGTATCCTGTATGCTATTGGCTTATTATAATTCCCACAGCCAACCTGTTCTAAATAAATTGCTGGCAAAGATACAATCAGTGTCTGAGCATAACTTTTGCTGCCTCCTCAAGACAAAAACAAAGGATAACTGGGCACAGCAAAAACAGGCAGAGAGAGAGAGAAATTTAACAGGAATTTTATTGTTATGTGTCTATCAATATCTAAGAAAGAGGTGGTCCCATCTATTCTGGTTCCTGATGAGGGAGGTTCCTGTGCTTACAATGACCACCACTCAATACCACATTTTCTCAGACCAGTTCTATTTCAATGAAATTTTATTAGTCTACTTAGCATATACTTAATATATGATTAAATTAAACTTAATTTT